AGGTGTAAATACATCCGTTAGAAAGTTGGCAAACAGCTCCGCTTTATCCTGTGGTTTTTGTGCCCATTCGCGATTAGCTTGTCTTAAAGGGGGCATGTGTTCTTTTGGCCTTTTTAATGATTTCGTCATCTTCCAGAGTGAATAATCGTCAGCTTTATATGGCGACAATGTCTGTAGTTTATCTTGCAATGTACGATTTTCATTTTCTTTGAGTAGTTCTTTTAAATCTTTTTGGGCTTTATTCAACGCTTTTTTATCTTGCTGATTCCTGCTGGTATGCCATTGTCGTCTTAGTCTTCTCTTCGCAGCAATAAGATATTTTATTTCCAACGGTATGTCCTGACTTTGTGTTTTAACGCTTACAAGTAACTTTTTTTTTGGGGTTAATTTTCGCTTGGGGCAGGATTTGGCTGGCTGGCCAGGATCCAACCATTGCGCTGAGCGCTTTCAATTATCGTAAAGAATCCATTTTTCATCACAGGTAATGATTCGGTTTAAAATACCTTCATTATTGTGCCGGTTCAGTAATGTAACGCAGCAGTCGACGCGCGTTTGCCGGTTTGCTTCAGTCAATTCGTGAGGTACCCATCTTTCAAGCTTTTTAATCTTCCCAATTTGCTTCAAGTGAATTAAACAGTTTTATCACTAACACCGCAGCCTGCAGCTAACTCGGACGTGGTTTGCGATGGATCCGTTTCCACAATAGCCTTCAATACTTTATTATCAACTTGGGTCTCAGGCCGTCCACGGGGCTTGTTTTGCAGGTCGAAATTTCCAGAACGAAAACGTTGGAACCAAAAACGAACTGTGTTTTCTTTTGCAACATTACCGCCATACACATCATTCACCCTTCGAGTCGTTTCCGCAGCACTAGTGCCACGGCGGAACTCGTACTCGTAAATAATGCGATACTTTAAGTTTTCCATTTTGTAAAATGAGTGACGCAAACAGAAAAAAACAAATGAATGACGGTCATCGAAGCACAAATACATGAGTAAATAGCTGTACAAATTTGAATTTGGAATTCCTTACCGAAGAGGAGAACATCGTGATTAAAGTGGCCAGTACGAAAAACGCCAATTTCATATGTAAGGACCTAATATTTAACCACTGCACAATTTGGATAGTGAAAAGATAGTAAAGCATTTGAGTGTACTCGTAGTTCATTTTTGCAGAGATATGAGCGAAGAACTTTTACTTGTTTACTTTTTAGGTCTGGGCCTCAGATTTCTGAATTTGTTTCGTGATCATTTTCAGTTCAGTTTTTTCTTAACTTTGACTTTACAAGCGAGTGTTAAATTCGCACTTAGACAGACAGATAAATGACAAAAGGTGATAAGTCGCTGAAGCTACTAGGCCAACACTCCGCTTTTTAATATTTAAATATTCACCTGAAAAAGTTTATTTACAAAACCTTCTATTGCTAGTATGGTAAATAAACCACAAATCCAATCGATTTGATTCTTAAAGCTTCATTTGATATTGCTGCCAATTCGTGCACGCATCAATCACTTTTGGGACAAATCTGGAAAGGTTTTATGAACTTCCGTAAATATCACTTTACATATTTTTTCATATTTTGCTAATGCTAAAATAAACTTTGGTATCTTGCTGGTGTGCACTAACGATAAAACAATTTGGGCATAATTTTGGCTACGCGTTATTTTGGTTTTTTTAATTCGATTCTATTCGATTCTTCCAAAAAGATTACCGCGTTCAGAAAAATTTTCAGCCATAGTAGATAGTTACTATAATATTCCAGTCAATTTAACATATAACTATTAATTTTACAAGGAAACCTTTTCCAGTAATCACACTATCTGTTGGTGACTCCATTTGTTGTGATATTTCAACTGTAATTTTAACTGTAACAATATTCTTTTTAATAATCCTTTATATGTTCATAACATAATAAAATACTTATGTATAGTAGATATTTCATATTTTACCCCTGGTAACTGTAAATATCAGAAAAAAGCCGGTCCCTAAGGCTCCACAGTTGTAGTTCCTCATTAATGCATCGTCATTCTGTTTTAATATGCATGTCCGTTAATTTCATCGTGCTTTTGAATTATATTACGTTCAACTTCCGCTATAGGTGTAAAATATGTTCGTTATAATCTATTGAACATTTAAAAAAAAAAGGCCCGCGTACCAAGGAAACGTCAAACGTCAATCAAGCTTTTTATCCTATCTATGTTCTCGAAATCTTCATATACGGGTGTATGTCAATAAGTGATTGTATAATATAACTAGCTGACCCGGCAAACGTCGTTTTGCCATGTATATTATTTCTAGAAAACATTTTTTAGTTCAATAAAAATTGGGGTTGATCGTAGGGGTTAAATAGGGGGTGACAATTAAGGGTTGTATGTTGCTGTGTATTTTTGTATGCTGTATCATATAAAAATAAAAACAAAATTTTTTGTCTAGAAATAAAAATAAAAACAGGGGACCACCCTTAACATTTAGGGGGATGAAAAATAGATGTCCGATTCACAGACCTATTGAATATGCATAAAAAATTGTTACACGAGAATTTTATATATGTGGGTAACACTGAAAATGTTTATAATTGGCCAGTTAGAAACATTGCTTATGAAAACTTTTTTTGAATTGCATTCATTTGTCATTTGTTTTTGTGCATTGGCGGCAAATCTAAAACTCTTGTTACACGTGAAAATGAACCTAACGCGAGAAAATTGTCGGTCAATGATATATTATGACTTTCGTTGTGGGCTTACTCAACAACAAAGCTATGATAGGCTGTGATTAGCATTTCTTAATGAAGCCCCATCTCGTGCCACTATTTACAATTGGTTTAATGAGTTTAAGGTGGATGAAGCAATCTCAATGATATCGGGAGGGACGTCCTTTAACAGCGTCTACTGAAGATAACATCAGTGTGTGGACGAAAGAAAAGATAAGAGAGTAACCTATCAGCAGATACGGGCAAGCCTAGGCATTGGTATGAGTCAAGTTCAAAAAATATTACACGAACATTTAGGCGTCACGAAGCTTTGTACCAGATGGATTCCCCATACTTTAAACGAAGACTAGAAACACCTGTGCCTGGACTGGTGTCGCCAAATGTCAGATAAGTTCAACGGCGATGAAAGCTGGATACGAGTATATTGCTACGAACCCAAAACTAAATATAAAATTCGAGGTATTCGCTTTACGAGCCCTAAAGATGCGGTGAAAGCGTAGGAAAATGCCATAAAACCCTAAGGAAGAATGGGCATACTTTTCTCAGTGGTTATTGAAGAGATAAGAGAGGAACGGGGATTACTTCGAAAAACAATAAAATATTGGCAACTGTAGAAAATGTAGAAACATTCAGCCGTTTTTCATTTTCTAAAAGTTTTCAGTGTTACCTAGGTATTAGATATAATTTTCTGTTGTTGATTATGATAACTTACCCTGAGGCTTGGGACAAAATTACTTTGACAGGCGTGACCTATGAAAAGCAATGGATTCCTTTCCGCATTTGCGGCAAAAGCCATTTGTATGGGAATATCCCATGTGTCGCTGTTGTTTATGAATGAGGACAAGAATACCAGACGCAACACCGACACACGCAAATTAGATAGAGACAGTAAATAGCTATTACAGGTACACCAACCAACAGATCAAAAATTAAGCCGTTGTAAAACATTAGACAAATAGGAACTTTTTGTTTTTCCATCAAATATGTACTCGTATGTAAACGTGAAGCTATTTTTAAGTATTAAATCAAAAAGTATACAAAAATCGCTTATAATTAAAATCCTCGTCATGTTTCTCAATTAATTTGTATTTTAAAGCCACAAATTTTATCTGTAAATATTAAATGTATATAATAAAACGAAATTTATAGAAAATAACAAACGGCACAAATATAAGAGTCTTTCCTCCAACTTCAATTTTGTTCCTTTTGGAATAGAGACTCTTGGGCCGTGGGGTTCAAGTGCACAGGCGCTTATTAAAGAATTAAGTTGGCGCCTGGTAGATAGTACCGGTGACCGCAGAGCTGGCACTTTCCTGGCTCAAAGAATAAGTCTCGCAATACAGCGAGGAAATGCTGCCAGCGTTAAAGGTACCCTGCCACAGGGACCAAACTTTTTAAATTTGTTTTGATTTTCATTTTATTTATTTTTAATTATTTTTATTATTACTTTATAGGTTAAGAAAATTGTAAATACTGTATTTGTGTGTATATAATAAAATAATTTTAATATGATTTTGTCCCATTTGGTGTCAAGACCCTTGGTCCGTGGGGTCCTAACTCCTAGCGCTATAAGGGTTTTTAAGGAAATAGCAAAAAGGTTAATCGACATCACAGGAAACCGACGAGCTGGCAGCTACCTCGGACAAAGAGTTAGTCTAGCTATTAAAAGGGGGAACGCTGCCAGTATCTTCGGAACCTTGCCTAAAGGGACTCCTTTAAATAATATATTTTAGTTACTATATTTTAAGTTTAGTTATAGTTTTTTTTTTGTATTCATAAGCTAGGTTAAATTATAAATTAAATTTCTACATATAAACGTAATATTAGAATAGTGAAGTAAAAATATCTTATAATCACTTAAAACTTAATAATATAGCTGTATACAGCTACAATAATAATGTGATTGAAGAAAACAAAAATCAAAAGTGCTTGAAACAATAAGAATAATAAATAATAAAGTCCCAGATTTAATACCATTTAAATTTTCGAATTGAAGAGCCAATGCTATTGGAATACTTTTGATAGTGTTTATTTTTTACAGAACAATACCTTATATGATATACAAATGTTTTATATATTTAATAATTATTCAAAAACATGCTTTATTATACAGGAAAAAAGTATATTTGGCTTAAGTTATCTGCACAATAATAAAATTATTGTCATTAGGTCAGAAGTAACATCATTTCTTTATCCAGGTCAAATGATATAAAAATGATTTTTACGTATAGTTCGAATAATATTAAAAAAAATTAAAAGTTTTATGAAATGCATTGCATTAACTTGAAAATTAATAAAATTTAGATCCATGATCAAGCGGAAATTGTTTGACTGAGGTTTTTATATTAACTGGGAGAAAAGATATGGGTCTTATATTATCTTCGGGTTCTTCGGGTACTTCGGCTACTTTCCGTGGTCCCTTTGTGTTTTTAGATTCATTAACTACATCATCATCATGATTGCTGACCTCAAATTTCTTGTTGACTTTTGGGAGAGATTCTTCGACTGGAATTAAAAACTGTCTAGTATTATCTTGTTGTGTCTCTTCTTCTACCTTTGAATTATCTTCCATAGTGTTTTGCTTGTCCATTTGAAACTTTATTGGCTGTTGCAGTGTCAAACTTATTTGTTGTAATTGAGCAAGCATGTGTGTCATTAGGGTTATTGTTTCCTGTTCGTACTTTTCATTTTTAGGGCATGGGCACTGACACTCTGTGTTCTCCACCCTTTGTGTTTTATGTTTGGTATTTGAGTTACCTTCACTATACCTAAAGTGTAATGATGGGTGAATTGGATAAACTCTGTTTCCATAAAACCTATGAAAGTCCTGATAATTCATTTCCGAAGAAAATCTTGCGTCAGTGATTACGACGAAAAATAGCGATAACAGTACCGTGGACACAAGCTTCATCTGAAAAATTAAAAGCACTGGTGAAAATATAATTAAATATTGTATTAAAATAAGAAGATTCAGCCTTAGTGGCGTGATTACTTGAAATTTGTATAAAAGTCCTGTGGCGCTAAAACTCTGTATGTCAACACCAAGAATTTGTAACACTATAGCTGACATCAGGTCTAGAGTCTGTACGTTGTTGATTTTTGGCTTTAAGGTTCTGGCTATTACAGGTTTGTTCACAATGTTTTTCTTTACCTTGCATACCACAAGCTACAAGGGTGTGGAATTGCGTTATAAATGAGGGTTTTGGATGCAAGCTAGGCTAATACTGTCTTTTACAAAAAAAACCTATTAACACACCTTTTATTCGTTTGATAAAATCTTCCAAGTTTAAGTACTTTACTTGTTATACAACTGCACTTCACAAAAATACTAACATTAAATATGTAACTGTGTTATTTATAGTAAATATAATGAGGAAAATTTAATGATTTATCATGTTTCGATGATTGTTATTGGTTCATTTAAACTAAATTATTAGTAGCATTGTTCAAATGATCTGTGTATGAGGTCAAAACCGTGGCTTTTTGTTTGTTTATGAGCGGATCTTAAACAAAATCACTCGTCACAGATTTGATTTTATCTTAATAACCGCATATTATTTTTTGTAATTGTATTGCATATACTACGCACCGTACAAAAGATTGCGGACGGTCATTAACGTTTACGTTTGTCACTAAAGCGGGCGGGGGGAAACGGGCAGTGAAATCATACATTTTTAAAAGCTTTATATTTATTTATTTAAGTTTCAAGTTTGTTTACAGGAGAAAACTTATACCTAAATTACGCTAGTTATAAAAATAGTCAGGATTATCTGACGCTGAACTAGGTGTGAACCTGTATTTCAGCATACAGCGCCTAACCCTTAAATATAACAGACAAAAAAAATCTAGCATTGAGTAGGTACATAGCACATTGAAAAAAAAAACTAATCTCTTAAAATGTACAATCTATTTAACAAGTAGTTATACTATGGTGTGGAGTGTTTAAGTTTACCTGTGAGTAAGGTGAGAGGGTGAATGTGTGTGTGTGTGGGAGAGTGTGTTCAATACTATTTTACAATATTATGTTCAATATTATATTACCATTGGCAGCAGTGGAAAGTGTGCAAAGGCAGCTTAACTTTTAAATCACCTGAAGAGTTGTGTTTTCTCTTAACTATAAAACAAAATTTATAAAGAAATGTGAAATTAAACAAGTTCATCGTAATCGTAATCGTAAACATATAAAGAAACACACTAACAGCATCTCTACGTGTTTCGTCTCTATTGGTTGCTACAATCAAGCTACATCAATCAGTCTTCAGACATAGAATTTATTAATTCTTCATTGGCCAACGTACACCGTTTAACGAACGACTCTGAATTAGCTGTCATGTTCGTAAATGAAATAAAAACTGAAGTTTTTGTTGTATTGGCAATCGCAGGTTATATGTTGTTAAACTATTATATATGTTTTAAAAAGTTAGCTAAGTTAAACTTAATCTGTATATGTGTGTAAATCGATAATGTCACACAGACAGATCACCTACATGACTATGAGAAGTCAGAAAAACTGATATTATTAATCAGAAAACAATAAATTATCAATGTGTTATTGTTAGATTAAATTGGGTTTTCCCCGCTGTATGTTTATTCCTATATGAATAAATGATTTCCGATTAATTATCCTGTTTCCAAATAATCTACATATATATAATCTAATAAACATAACATGCATATATTAACAGAAACATTTAGTGTTGATAGAACACATATTTAAACAAAACTTATGTAACACATAAACGTCATCAACAGTCTAAAGCGGGCCAAAGACGGACCGCATGTTGAAGTCAAGACCGACTGCAACATGCGATTTGCTCAGGATCTGCTCGAGCGGTCCGTGTATTGCGAATATGAATTTAGTATGGAAACTGCAGATCGCCGTGCGTCGACCGCATGTTGCAGTCGGTCTTGACAGCAAAATGCGGTCCGTCCATGGCCCGCTTAACTATAAATCGTGTTAATATCGGTCTACTCGTTTAGGAGGACACATAGATGTTTGACGTTTTTGCGTCGGGAGTTCAACAAGTATTGCAAAATAAAACACATATTTTTAGTAAACTGTATTTATAATAAATAATTCCAGTAATTAAAACTACTTGAATTCTTTAGAAGTCAGTTCGTTACTAAGGTTTCTATGATTGAACCAGTGAAGTCCGACGAACTCAGAGAGATTTAGATTTGTTCGGAGGACTTATAAAAATAATTATATTCTTTTGTGACTTTAACTTTGACAGAATTATTACGTTTTCTCTCAGAATTCCTTTCCTGAAAATGTTTTATGAAAGTCGAGTAACTTGATGAATTATATATAGAATGCTGTATTTATAATGTTGCTTAATCTTATATGTTCTCATTACACTTCACTCTTCGAACCTTTATCGAACTGCGTATAGAATATTCTCGCTGCGGTTAAAGCGTCATAAATAAACTTATCTTCACAAGGGTTAACGTCAAAAAAAGAATGCACCACATCGCAATGTTTCAGAACAATATTCATTAATTACTTTGCTATCATTGCAACACGCAATAATCGCTCTTGCACAAGGCGACAGTGCCTTTGGTGGCTGTTCTTGTATACCGTGTCTCGTTTTTAGTATAAATAGTAATTCTGAATAAGTCAGGTTCCCAGTAGACGCAATGTCGTCTAATTTGTTTGCAGGCGCTTGTGGGAATCCATAACCACATAATGCGAGTGCTAAAATAATGACAGGCGTTGCAAAAGCAGAAGACATTTTATCTGAAAAACAAAACGAAAATCGTAAGTCAATAAATTATATACAACAATTCACAGACTTCACCATTAGTTTGGTCTAGTATATAATATACAATAATCCTGTATTTGACAGCTCGGACGGATAGTATTCGAGTATAAAGTCTATGGATTGGAACGCGTTGGAACTGTCAAAATTCTCGTCATGATATAGCACGAACAATTTAAAATGTAAATAATTAGTTATTAAAATTATCGGCACGAAAGTTGGCATAATTTTTTGAGAACGTCAAACCGTTCTTGCCAATTCACGTGTAATACTAAAACTATAACTTACATTCGTTATCTTAATGTCAATTATCTAGACCTTGCACATCTGCCGTCATATATAATATAGTATGGTTGAACGATCTACACAAAGATCAAATGGCCATGAGTCAATGTTCAATGATTTTAAATGAGACTGGTTTTCCCGAGTTGAGGACAAAATACCTCGTTTAAAACACAAAACTAATTCAAACAAATTTATCACTACATTAAACCTTTTTAGAAAAAATCCGGTTTTGTTCACGTTATCACTTTTCGTTTACATTCTAATATATTTTAATAAACATGCGAGAATACGTCTAGCTTGTATGCAAAATGAATAACTTCTGATCGCAATATCCTGTTTTATTAAGAACGTGAAAACCGAATCGCAACATGCGTAAGTTTAAGCAACGAAATACTCCGAAATCGGGTATTATTAGAGTATGAATAATTAGAGAGGTTTTTAAACTCGGTTTGTATTTGTCCTAAAACTGGAATTTTATTAACTACTTTAATTCCGCCCGCAGCTTCGCAGGCGCGGATTTCATATATTTTGGCAAAGAAAATGCGACTCCTTTATTTATTATCGCTTTCAAGTTACACACATCTTAATGAATTATACACCTAAACCTTTCAGAGTCACACTATTGATGAAAACCGTACAAATACTTCATATAAACAGACGCACAGACTTCATTTTATATTTGTAAATATTTGACGTTAAAGGTCCGTTAGAAATTTGGGAATTAATTTTTTTTATGACTAACTTATCTTATAACAAGTGTTCATACAACTAATTACAACTAACTGAAGTTTGTTGTGTTAGATGGGTTAAAAACATAGTATTAATAAATTGTTTTCTTTAAATGCTTAATCTATCCTAAAATTTAAATCAGTCGTTATAAATCAAAACGTTTTTTTTTAATAAACTTTTAACATTCAACATTTAAACCAGACTTTAATCACATTTTCAAAGATTTTAAAATTAGGTAAGGTAGTAAAAAATGTGTTATGAGAGCTTATTTATAAGTATATATATACCATGTTATAGTAATTATAAATGAAATAAATTTTACAAATAAATCGTATTTATTATTACAATAATTTAACATACATTGAAATATATTCTGAACGTTCCCTAAGGCCCAGTCACGGGTGGCTTAAGACGCAGACGGCCAATTAGAAGCCAATATTAATTCTAGCGCCATCTTTCGCTAAGCTCACCGTAAGGGATTTGGCATGAAAAATTCCAATACAATTATTTCACATACAGATGACTATATAATGAGCGAATAACGTAACTTATTCAAAACAAATACAGTCCCGATATTATAAATTTAAGAATCTAATGTTTGCATATAATTAAGATTTATTGTCATATTGTTGTTGTGTTCCGAAAATGTTGATGATACAATATGTGAGGTTGTACGTGTACAAAATAATCAATACACTATGATTATAAAATGATTGTTACAGATTTTATGGAATACGTGTTTTCGTCTAATACTGATTTTTAAGTACAGGCTATTGCTCTTTGTAATCATTGTTTTTCGCAAAGCTTCATTTCACTGAATAAAGCTGCTAGAGCCACCAAAGTTGGAAATTATTTTACCACACGCTCACTTATATTCGACAGACTGTAGACGTAACGAGTATAAGTTACAATAAATAATTGTATTTAATTTTACTTTATCGCAATAAAGTTAAAAGCATTACAATATATCTTAGATTATCTAGTTATAGGAACAAACTATGACACGGTGTAGCGACACCTACAATCTGCCCCTACAAATCATTACGATGACGTCACTAAAACACGCTAACGAAGTTATTCCGACCGCTAATATATACACAACTTATCGAGCATAACCACTGAGGCCTTTGGTTGCCGGCCTGTTAGTGATAAGGCTGGAGAGCTGGCAATTAAGGTCGGAGAAGGAATAGCACCTTCCTTCCTCCGCAACGGTTTGAATATACAAAACTAAGACTAAATGGGGCATTACAATACCTATTAAATATACACTCTAAAAATAGGTCACCAGAGTATATCGAATTTGATGCAGTGTTATCGACTAACTTGAACAATACATTACATAAAGCTGCCATTATATAAAATAAATAAAAAATATTTTTCGTAATATTTTATACAGATCGCTTATAAGTAAGTTGTTTGTTTAATACATTTTCTTAATATTACACATAAAATGCTTTAAAGAGTATTATTATATTATTAATTAAGGCACACATGGTTCGCAGTCAAGCTATGTCAACTATATCGAATATTATAATTAAAAAAAAACAGACACTGCTTATAGGCGACGCATTGAAACTTGTATAAAACCTTTATAATCGAAATTTATCTGTACCGTTTATAATCTTTCGGTAGAATTACATCAAACATTGATTAAGTATTTTAAGATGATTAGATGGCAATTAATAAATAAACATTGTGTTCTATATAAGTAAAAAAACTTAGCATGTTCTTGAACATACAATTCTGGATCACACTAGATATATAAATGTATGTATTCTTTAAGGTTTTATTATATTTTAACTTCCAGTAGATACTTTTCGTTTTAAGAATCTTTCTAACTTCTGTATTGCGGGTAACATACGATCTAGAACGCATCCATTTTTGAAATACGCCAAATCATTACATCCATATGACGTGAAACAAGTATAGTTGACTGTAGGCTTAAGACAACATGATACAGAGGCTTTCTCGCAGGGTGTAGGTGGTGTGTCTTGTGATGAATCCGTAACATCTTTTTCCAGAGTTACTGGATTTCTTGTTGTTAGTTCCGGAATTGCTGGCTCCAGCCCCGCCTGGACACTTCCGTGTTCTAATGGAGGCGGCGGTTTACTTAATGGTTCATCTAATATCACAGGATTAAATGAAAGCGGTCTCGATCCTTCATCCTCAGTATAATCTTCCGAACTATCTGAATTTTGTGTGTCATCAGTAGGCGAGAACCTGTCTGGAAAATCTGGCATAGTATTGTTGTTAACAGGACGTGGTTTTTTTGTGGCATCATTTGATGAACAGTCGCAAGTTACTTTTGGAACGTATAAGACGGGAATATAGGTTGGAACTGGTATGGTTATGGTACGTGGAGGTAAGTAGGTTCTGTCTCTAGCTATTTCCTGCAGCTTGGTGAGAATTAAATCTAATGTGTCCTGTGAACCATAGTTACCGAAGCTATTGTATGGCTCCCTTCTTTGGATATTTTGACGGAATGGAATGGGAAAATCTTGGTTTATATTGAAACCGTTATTGTAGTCAAAGTAATTGTAAAATCTTTTTTCTCTTTGTCCTGGCTTATTTTCTTTTACATTATCATTGTCCTCTGCTAGGCCATAAAGTTGGTCGTGTAGATTTGCGTCTTTTTGATCGCCGGTCGTCTCGCTAATTCCTCCGAGAGGAACTGCATGAGATACTGTGCTTAGGAGTATATTTCCAACGAAGACGTATATGTAATCCTTCATCTGAAATTGAAAAAAATAATGAGAAATTTGTATGTACTAACAATATTCATTTTTTCCTATTACCAGTGAATTCAAAAATACCACTTCAATAATAAAAATAAAATGAGCTGAATTGGCGCATTTTATGTTTGTCTTCATTTCAGTGCAATATTAATAGAAATGACAAATGAGTTCTTGAGTTAGAACAGTGTATAAAAGTAAGTTTTAAGGGAAAAATGGGCCTGGGCGAGTTAGAAATGTATGCAATCAATACGAATCACGATGAACAATTTAAAGGCGATGTATAGACGATTTCAAAAAAAGTATTCTAACTATAATTAAACATAATTCCTATTGTCGGTTTACCTTGACGATGTTATTAACAAAAGAAATGTATTGCGTTTACTACACAATGGATGTTTGATGTTTTGAAATATTTCCTTTCTAAAATTGTACTTCATCTTGATGACCCAGATGACCCAAAACACAGTTACATTCTGCATTTTTAGTTTATATATTCAGTTATGGCGTTATGTCTTTACAAAAAGCAGTTATTTTGTTTACTATAAAAACTATGGTGAAGCTAGTTTGTACGATGCATACCCGACAATATTATAATACAATGAAGTACTGTATCTGCTACGTGACCAGCATGGTCTCTAGGATTTTGTCGTCATTCGAATATTTTAATCAACACGTACCGAAACTAATTTTAAAGGTGGCCTTACCAGCTGTACCGGTAAATTTTTACTAAAACTTTCAGACCGGTATTTTTGATCCAAATAAAAATAAAACGCTATCAATCCTACATTTCCTAAAGAAACGGTATGTATTTTATGTGGCTGAGATGAATATTTCTCAAGTATATAGAGTTTTCTTAGCAAGTTTTTTGTTTTCAATTGCAATGTCATTAGAAGATAACCGTATCTTTACGGTTGCTGTATTGCATTTGTTCACATCATTGTATTAAGTGAATCAAGTATGAACCGTTTGAATCAAGATGTTGATCTTATTTTGAACAAACACTCATTATCTAATTACTAATTGGAATGTACATAATTTAGATTTAATGAGAACTAGTCCCGATTAACAAATAATTACGCGATGTGGTAACTTTTTACAGTATTCTTTTTTATTATAATCTACGAAGGGTAGATTATTTTTATATTGTGCAATGAATCGTTAATTAGTTGTGTATTTACATTTATGCATTTTCACATTCCATAATGTCTACAATGGGGTTTTTTTTCATTTTTTTATAGATCAGGGGGTAAACGGGCAGGAGCTCATGTGTTGTTAAGTGATACCGCCGCCCATGGACACTCTGAAAGCCAGTGGGCTCGCGAGTGCGTTGCCTTCCTTTTCAGAATTGGTACGCTTTTTTCTGGAAGGACCCTTAGTCAAATTGGTTCGGAAATACTTCAGTGGACAACTGGTTCGACATAGTGGTGGTGCGCTAAAAAAACTGTCTTAAAAAACGCTATGTTGCGGAACGACGGACGTCGAGGTGATACGGGTGGAATTTCGTATTCTGCCTCGACGTCCAGTGATGAAACTCAGCTGCAGGTATTAATCCGAACAACTCCTCTGAACACTCACCATGGTAATGGTTTCAATTGAAGATGGTATTTTCCTTTTTTGCAACGAGTTTTTAGTAGCTATTATGGACGTGTAAATTTATCTCATAATTTTTTCATCTTCATCAAATATTTCTAAATCTTAATCAAATATCAAAAATTTGTTCTTGACTAGGCCCTTTTAAACGGATATGCCTTTTTCAATATTGCGATCAAAATTTAATCGTGACTTGACACTTTAGTTCAGTAACCGATGAACAAAAGAACCTAAAAACGATATCCTATTATTAAATGTAATGACTGCTTTTGTCACGACTATTTTTAATGATACAAAAAATTCTGAGAATCTCTGTTAATGGCCTTTGCTATTTAGAATGTAGATATTATATATTAAAGTGATCAAGTTAAAAAAATATTTCTCAATATTTCGTTTCTTGGTTTTTAGAACATATGCCTGTTTTACCTGAAAAAAAATCTGGCACTTTTGGAATTGGCACGTAGTCAAGAAAAATATTTTTTTAATCTTTTATATAATAATTGTCGTTTTAATACAATAGAGTGAAATTGATTGTTGCTACGAAATACTTTAAAAATCATTTGTTCATTGTTATTTAACTTTTACCTAATTCGTCAGTGTACCGTATAATAATGACCGCACACGGAATTAATTGCGGAAATACCAAAAAATTTAACTGTTAACGGTAACTTTTAACAATTTAGTAAAATTTCATTTAGTCATGAAGTTTTTTGCCTCAATGTCAAAAAGTTTTGTACCCAATTTCTCGGAAAGAAATATAGAGCGTTTTTATTTGAAAGTTAATTAGAACCCTTGGCGCGAACTATACGTCTAGTTAACTTCAATAATATCATATTTTTTATTTATTAGGAACCAAGAACTATCAACTAATTAGAGAATAGATCATAATAGATTCAATTAGAGAATAATATCGAAGCAGCGGAAATCTTCGATTACCATCAAAGTCCGGGATTTTCCAAGGTTGAAAATATAAGCACGTAGTCAACAAAAAATAATTAGTGAACATTGTAAAGCAATTAACGGAATCGTGTTAGCGCATTAGAAACCATTAAGTTTAAATTTACATTGTGACATCCGGAAGTAGCAATTAGAATTTTGGTAGTTATATCACTGGAAAATCTAATAGTTTTGACCCGTCATCTGTCTCTTTTCATGGCAGCGAAAAACAATTTTACAGAAAGAGATGAAAGAGGATTTTAGTAAGAGGGCATTTAGATTTTATTTCGTTTTATAAATAAGGGGTAAGTTTTGTGGGTCATACGTGCTTCATAGCATAAAGATTGCTTACAGAAAAACGCGGTTGAAAGATGGTTAGAGCCATAGTTAATTCAATTCTTACATCCCATATATATCCCAACACGTGTTTTGATTAGACGTTTTCCGTGCCTCACCATTTTGGTCTAACAATTTCTATGATATTTTTTGACTTAACTGTAACTGGGTAATAATACTACGAACATTAGTCGGATACAAATACAAAAAAGCAATAAAATACCAACTCAATTCATAATAAGTTTGGAGGAAAATCCTATTAAATGTCAGGACGAGTTTGAAATGCTGTCTGATTTAATAATTTATACATAATAATATTTTCAATACAAAATATTATTCTACTGTGACCTGAATCAGGTCCAGGTCTTGTTGAACACAGGTTGGAACAAAAAGCTTATTTTTTATATTTGACTAGAAAATGAAACAGATCAGACCTCTCATTTACTTCTATATAACTAACATCAATCGGCAAATATATTTTTACTGGAGGACATTTATCTATCCTGATTCCACTATCATGCATTTATCAAAAAATGTCTGGATGAGATAATATATGTAGTTTTCCATTGTTATTTTAAGAAATATTTATAATTGATCGAGTCGTAAGATTGACATTATAATATATTAGTGTTCTGACATATGCTCTTAATAATTCTAAATGTCATATGCATTAAAAGGATCGTGACCAAAAAAAGGATTAGTCGATGCACTAAACGACCTGAACCACTAGCAGTGTCCGCAAAAATTGATATAAGGTGGGTGGACCATAGAAGGCCACTGTAACGAATAAACAGTTTTTATTCATTAATTTACTAGATAAATAAAAGAAACAAATTATTAACTAACATTTTGTTTTATTGTGCAACATATAAATTGTTTTTTTTTATTGTAGACGTTATCACTATTTCTTAAACTTAACTTTTATAAAGCTCTTCTAAACGGCCTTGCAAGGAACAGTGCTCCATACAAGGCCAATATTTTAAATCAGCCGTTCAACTTAAAACTAGAATTGTAATAATCAAAATATCCGCTTTTACTAAAACTACATAAAAAGCTCTTTTACTTAAACGAAAAATTAAATGCTTAACATATTATAATCTTGTTTAATAAACTCAACGAACATTCCTTGAACATTATCGTATAACTAAGAACTTATTAATGGATATTATTCAAAAATTATAGTAATGACTATTATTTCGATAACAAATGAGTTACCAATTCGTTTTGCAATGAAATTATATAATTTTTTTTTTTACCTATAATGGCCTTCTAATCGGTCCGTTCTTTGTAAGGCCAAAATGTTCCTAAGAAGGCCAAACTAACAATTATCATTTATGACAGCCTTTTTTACAGACTAAGTACTCTAATTATTACGAACTTAAAATGGTACATAGTCAGTCTTGAAGTCAGGAATATTTAAAATCAACCATTCCTAAGATTCAAAAATGAAATTATGATAAAACTAGTTTTTCAACCGCAGCTCCGCCCTCGTGGACTTCACGATATCGCGCGCTTTGGAAATAAACTTATAAACTAAAAAGGATAATAATTTATTTTAATCACAATCTGAACATAAAAATGAGAGATCCTTTTTAGTGAGACCAATACACTCCTCGTGATACCACTTTTGACATTCGCTACATTGCCTCATGTCTTCGATTTTACACTCGCCACATGCGTGACAGTACCATTTTCTTTCTTCACCTTCTGCTTTTCTTTTCAGCAGTTCTTTGGAATCATTTTTATTGATGTTTTTCTTTTTTTTGTCGTCGCTTACTTGTACATTTCATTTTTTTCTTACTCCCGGTACGTATTTCTAACTAAAAACGAAGTGTTCATATTTTCATAGTTCGTAAATGTTCCTAGTGAGACCCATGTAGGTACCCTAGCAAGGCCAACCGTCAAATTTTTGATTGGCTTTATAAGGAACCACCGGCTTTTATAGGAACACTATCGATATTTTAACTGAAAACAAAGTAAAATTAATATTTTTTTCTTTAGTATTATAAAAAAATCCATATATGACAATTTACAGTTAAAAGAATATGATAATAATGGGATATTCATATAAAAACTTATCTTTTGCTGAGCGCGCAAATTACAATTTTAACATCGATGACCGAAGTCTACGTAGT